TTGAATTGTCGAAGCTCTTTGGCTGAGAAAACGTTCTGACCTTTTTGGTAAACCGAACAATTCAAATCCACCGTAAAAAAACTGGTTTTAATGGAGGGTTGTTCTGGTTCTAACATGTCTTACGGGAAAGCGTTTTACACAAAGTTCGTCATAGAAAGGGAGGGAGATGTGTTGAATTGTACAACGTACTAACACTTTTGGTGTTGCGCAAACAAGTATTGATTAATTATTTGTAACACATTTGTTCACAAGCTGTATATGCTTCTCTGTTAGCTAAATTACCAATTTGTTCAAATCTTTTAAATGTTTAAGGATTGGTGCTGCTCCATTCATGTATTCCAATTTGAGATGTTAATTTCCTCAACATGACCAATGAATCACGATCAATACAAACTGTTAATCTGTTTATAATTGATGACAATGTGCACATCTTTTATTTAAACTGAGTAAATATTATATATTTTATATTGGTGATGGTTTCTACTTCAAACTGCAATTGCTGCACAACAGTTTCCCTCGGATTAGTAAATCTCATCTCATCTCATTTCATGTTGTTATGTGTCCAAAGTGTGCTGGTAATGCTCCTAAATCTGTTTCACACTTAACTGTTACAAAACTAATTCCCAAATACCTTCTTGGATTTTGTTGTGATCTCTGTTAAAACTGCACAGCGATGCTGTTTCCAGATCTGAGTCGCATCCTAAGGCAGACTGAAAGACAGGAAAACAAGCAAACAGTGTTTGTCATTCATTAGCTGTGGTCACACATTCAACAGAAACAGAATATGGCACGTGGTAAATAGATTCACCTTGATGCCTAAGAACAGGTGGACTCTTAATATCCTGACAATCCTTGGCTGCACATAAATAGATTTTATTGCATTTTATTTGTTAACAACTGTCTGTGTTTTTCTTTTTTGCCTTCATGTCTCTCACACAGACAGCACACTTCGACCGTCAATGACAAAGTTCCTTCCCTAACATTCACTACCCACTGCACTGAATGTCAAAACGAACTAAGTATCACGTTAAATTAAGTAGCCTATGTAGTGATTTATTTTCCTCATACTGCAGCACCTGTTTTCACCCTCTGTCTGAAACCAGAGCCCAGTTTACTCTGATTGGTTAGCTGGCCGGCTCTGTTGTGATTGGTCTACTGCTTAGAAATGTTCCACCAATCACGTACAATGTTGGAGCACTAGCCAATAGAAGTGCGAGTGTTAAATAGTGATCTCACTATGTCATGGAAGTAGACCATTTATATGCAAAAAAACCTATATAACACTCTACAAGAAAGGAAAAACCCTCAAAAAGCTTTATACCGTTTCTTAAAGTACTGTAAGTAACCTGTGAGTATGAGATTTCATACACAGCTATTTTCTACAGGCCAGGCACCTGATTTGGGAAGTTGTCAGTGTCACAATATGTTGCTTATGTCACACAGTCAAAAAGCCATGAAGGGCTAATCACGTCTGCTTGTCTTCAGGGTGTCACCAAAATCAAACATAAAGCAACCCAGTAACCACAGTCGACCATAGTTGAAAGAAGTTCTGTCCATATACTGAAGCATGCTTTTTTCAGACCATAACTCTCATATAACAGCTAAAATACAAAGAGGAACTGGATCAAAAAGAGAGAGCTGCTTTCATGACGTTGAACCGCAATGACCATCGAACACGTGTTTTACGTCTATGTTCATTTTTATCTGAGGTATAAATCAGAAGAAGAGCTTGCTTGCTGGATTAAGAATTGCTTTCAGGTTAAATTATTTGTTAATATGTCCATTATGGTCCTTGAAAGCACAAATGTGTCTGCGTGTGTTTTCAGATCCATTACAAGAGGACATTGCTGCTGAACAGAAGTCCCACTCTCACTAACCAACTATTTTTGTTCGCAGCAATCTGTTTGTCCATTATCTTTCTTTTTGTTTTACCTCCTCCTCCCTCGGAAATACGTTTTAACCTCCACCTGTCATTGAAAGGTTTATTGAACATGCATGTGTACTGCATTGCGACATAAACAAAAACTTCCCAAAAGCAAATCTGCTATCACCATCTGCTTATCTGTGTAAATACTATCATTACACTGGCTGACACAGGAGAAAAGTATTTTGTTATCTCATTTTGTCTTTGACTTTGCATACAGTTGTTCTAAAGGGAACACTGGTGTTTATAAGCTGGGGCATCTGCTAGTTATTATCTACGATTGATAGACTAAGTTGAATATAATATGAATTGTTTAGTGTTTTGTCCTTGTGACCAGGGGGAGAAATGGAGTATGACTGTGCATACATGTTTTTCTACGTTTTGATACATGTAGATTCCTAGCCTTAGCATAGTCCATCTGATGCTGCAGAGCACAGCCTGCTTTTTATGGTTCAGGGTTAAAAAAGGTGCTTAAATTATAATCTCCATTTATGACAAGAGCCTCACATGGCCTTTGCTGTGAGAAACAGAGGAGCTACTGTTCTTTTCGTGGTAATAAGGATTAAGAAATAATTTGAAGTCATTTGGACTTATCTTTGCTCGAGTTGAGGAGAGACCTGCAGGGTTGAATTATATTTACTGTATGAGTCAGAGAAAGATTATTTTCTATAGCAAAGGACAACTGAGGAGAACATTTCTAACGGGGGATGATGCATCTTTGCAATGTAAATGCTAAAGAGAATTTAACAAAGCTACCAGTTAAAGTACAATGATTTCTCAGGGCATGGCTTAAAGAACTGTGTATCCGGCAAGGCTCAAGAACAGTTGGTTAGTAAAACTGAATGTAATGATGGTCAGACAATAAAATACCACGTCCAAAAGCATGTTTGAAACAAAATGGTATTACCAGGTTACAATCATGCCAGGTTCAGAGTAAACCATTTCTGAAATGATGGTCAGTGTTGGATTATTATAAAATCCCGATAAACCTACTGTATCCTATCTGCAGCACTAAACAGCACACACAAAGTTAGCATCTCCCCTGGTGAACAAAGAGGAGCATTTAGCCGCTAAACTGACAAAAATGTTCCTCTGGAGTTGGTTGAGACCAAAACAGAGCGACAGTAAAGGGATAATATTGAACAGAACATTACTGCTGGATGGCTTTCTTTTTTCCATGAATGGCTTTTCAATATGACATTTGAATTATGTGTTGGTGTTATGTTCACATTTTTCTTTGGCTGAGTCATCAGTGATTACAGGTTAGGGTTAGGGTTAGGTTAATTCTCCAGGCTGTCGACCGCTGAGCTACCTGTCAAACTGTACAATGGCCAACATAACAAGATGTTCTTGCTAAAATGTTCAAATTATGAAAGACGCCAGTCAGCTTTGGTAAAGAAAATACAAAGGAAGACAGACGCATCTTATCTGAGAGCTTGTATCTTCCAAGAGGTTAAAACCAGCAACACATCTTGACCTTACTGTCTGGAAACAAGCATGGCGCTGAAACGTCTGCACCGACGTACATAAACATTGGCTTTCCGACATTTCATTTTCATTTCATTTAATCGTTTATTTGAATCGGGACAATGCACATTGATGAACACTTTAAAACAAAATAATGCTTACAAGTGTAAATGAGCCGGATTTTAGCTTTGAGCTAATTTCCATCTGTAATCCCGTCACATACAACATATAAGAACATAAGGGCAGTCCATGTAAACATTTATAAAAAAAACACATACTTTTAAAAGGCTTAAAATTATCAAAACTCAAGAAATTGTGTTATTCAAGGATGGTACAGTGGTGATATGAATTTGGTTTTCTGTCAAAAACCTTGATAGCTCTCTTGTACAGTTGTTCTATGGGTTTCAGGTTTGTGGCACAAGCATGATGTTACTGTGATATGCAGTTCCCCCGATGATCAACACACAGGTTTTTAAACTGTAATGAATGAGTGATAGTCTGTTAGAAACACTGAAAAAGCATTTTCAGGCTTGAATCGATGACTGGGTGCGGCCCAAATAAGATGTGAAGGGTGTTGGGGAAATATTTTCCAAGGCCCATAACTTTGACCCAGTTTATCAGTTCATACTGTCCTGACTGAGCACAGGCACCTGCACCGTGTGGTCAACTCGTGGCCCTTTGACATGTCTTGTCAAATTCTCCTTTCCGAAGCTCCAAATAAACTGTCAGTGTTTGCCATCAAAGCTCCAGCTCTCCTCGTGTCTCTCTGAGTCCTGACTCCTATTGCTTCAGAAGTTTCCCCCACAAAGGTACTATACTGTGGTAGGAAAAACTGCTTCAGATGAGGCTTGTTTTCATTTTGGTTTCGACTGGATGAAGCAAGACAAGAACCAAGGCACTGTTGGGGTGTGATGCAATCTTTGACTAAGGTTTCCAAAACTACTAAAGATGGAAGTGTTTTTGATCATTTTGGAAAAGTACACATCAGTGAACAACATCCATCTATCTAATATCTAACTATTTATCCATTAATACACATGAAATAAAACAATTTGACTTTCTAGTATTTTTTTAAGCGTAATTTTTGTTGCGTCAATAATAAGTTCTCTCTAAGAACTAATCCTGCTTTTCCAGGGATTGGCCATTTGGCAATGTGTGTGTGCGTACGCGCAGGTGTCTTACATTTTGTGCCAAGCATTTCAATGTAATACGATTATATGTGTCAAATCACCACATGGTAGGTTGTGCATGTAGCAGCATGTCACTTCCAATTACTGTGTGGGCATACAAGACACATTTATCACATTTATATTGTATTATTGTGTTAAATGAGTTCAAGCCAAAGGTTCCCACAAAAACATGCTTAATTAACTATTTAAATTTGCTGAAAGACATCGGACAAAACTTTAACGGGAAGTGTCAGTCAAAATGAATCTCTCACAGTCTATGCTGATTGTAAATAAGTGGGACAAAGGAACAGGTTAAACTACAACAATGACCTTCCTGTTGTTGCATGCATTGGCTCTTTTTACCTACGTAAGTATCTTTGCCTCACCTCTACATTGCACATCTCTTACAAATGTCTATCTTTCTGTCTTTTGCAGATCTTGCAGGTAAATCTAGTGATGTCCATCCTGCTGTATGTGATGGTCCTCGTGTACCTCTATGGTATCCAGGCGACCCACATGGACAGCAGTCGCCAGGGGCAACATCAGGAGCAGCAGTCGAATCCCGACCCGTTGAACTCCCTCATCATCCAGCTGCTACAGGCCGACCTGACGAGGGGGAGGACCAGGGGGAACGAGAGCCAACAGGGGGGGAGCAGGGACTCGCTGTCGCCTCACCTCTCTGCAAACTTTCCCTCAGAGGAGCAGGGCGATGTGGAGCATTGGGGGAGTCGCAGCGGGGGGAGCAGTGACGACGTGGTGTTGAACTCAAACCTTCTCAGGCAACACAAGCGATACAACTCACCTCGAGTGCTACTGAGCGACCGGCCCCCCCTTCAGCCCCCGCCGCTGTACCCCTCGGACGATTACGTGAGCGGTGGGTTGGACGGAGGGGCGGCGGGGAACAAGACACGGAAGAAGCGTTATGCCGAGCACAAGAGCTACCGTGGGGAATATTCTGTGTGCGACAGCGAGAGCCAGTGGGTGACAGATAAAACCAATGCAGTGGACACCGAAGGGCAAGCTGTCACTGTACTGGCCAAAATTAAAACCAGCGTCACGCAGAACATCAAACAATACTTTTTTGAGACGCGCTGTCGGAGCCCAAGGCCCTTCAAAGGAGGCTGCAGGGGCATCGATGACAAGAACTGGAACTCGCAGTGCAAGACGACGCAGACTTATGTCCGCGCGCTGACGCAAGTTCGCAATCTAGTTGGCTGGAGGTGGATACGCATAGACACTTCCTGCGTCTGCGCGTTGTCGAGGAAACGTCCGAGACATAGGACGTAATCAAAACAATTCAAGCCTTGCTGGTGACAGCCTGTTTGAAATTCTACTTCCTGCATAGGATTTTGTATTTCCTGTCACAGTTCTCCACCACGGGATTATGAATAATGTTTTAAGGAGCAACACTTTGCTAAAGAAACTTCTACTGAAGAAACCTTGGGTCCACTTAAAATTCACATCAATGTGCTGCAAATCCACCACGGTGCAATTGCCGCCGCAGAAGAACTCGTTTGAGAGANCAAGGTCCGGGCATCTCAGCTAAAGCACGAGCCACCTTCACCCCAACTTTTTCCAATCTGACTTCAGTTCATTGCCAGGGATAACATGTGGCCAGGAAGTCCAGACTTCCTGGCCACATGTTATCCCTGGCAATGAACTGAAGTCAGATTGGAAAAAGTTGGGGTGAAGGTGGCTCGTGCTTTAGCTGAGATGCCCGGACCTTGAAGCTTTCTGATGCCGTTTCTCTCCCTGCAGTGAAGAGAAAGGCCCACTGCTTCTGGTGCAACTGTCACCCATTTAGACTGCTCAGTTTGTCAGGGGTTACAACGTCAGTAACTCACCGTGTCGTCTCGAAAAACAGAACCCATGTTGTTTGCTAAGCTTTCTGGGTATGACCTTTTAGCTGTGACGGAGTGATAAAAGAGAATGACGACCTGAATGAGGGTCGACTGGCGGGTCACCGATGGATAAAATGAAACATCGACTTTCAGGAGGCAGCCATAAATTAGACAGCATTTGGAGGTTTCTAATTTGTGATATACCAAATGTAGTTGGCCCGGTGTAAGCTTCAGAATTTAGGAAAGTGCACAGACATCTCCTTGTTTAGTAGAGGAATGTGAAAAGACCTCTATATTGACAGTCTTTGCACATTCACAAGCCAGTATAGCCGAGCTTAGACATTTCAGGGGGATAAAAGGAAAACACATACTGTATGAGTGGATGTGATCTTATATCAATGTATTTATTATAACTGGTCTAGCAATGGAGTATAGCTCAATCAATTACTTCCTAAAATCAATGTCAAGAGATAACCCATTAGCAACTGTTTAAGTAATCAATTAAAAATCTAAAATGCAAAACATCCATTTGCACCAGTCTCTCAGAAGTAAAAGTTTGCCGTTGTATAGCCTTTTATGATCGTAAACTGAATACCTTTTGGGTTTTTGAGATTTAAAAACGAGCAGTTCAAAGACATCATATTTGTTGTGGACATGCTGATTAAAACTATATTTGTATTTACTGCAAAGTACCAAAAGAAAGTTGGTTACTTCCTCATTAGGAGCTGCAGAGTCTCACAAACACCTGGAAGTTTCCCAGTGAAACAGTCTGCAGCCACTGAGCAGCTCCACTGGTGCACAGGTGCAGATTCAGCGCTGTGTTCAAGGGCATCTCGACAGCGCTGATGGATGGACGAGTGCCTCTTTTTCAATTTATCCATTCAGATCCCTGTCGTCATCCTTGAGATTCAAACTGGTGAACTAATCTTGCATTTCAAGGCACATCTTTTATTTACTGTAGTCAGAGAGTTCAGGGAGAGTTAGCACAACTAGTCGGCATGATTCAGTAAGAACTGAAGCTTGTTGGCTCAAACTGCTGGCGGATAAATACTGTTCTTCAGTTTTTTGGAGAAGCCAAGGAAGGTGAAATACAAGTAAGCTGATATACCGGTCCTCAGTAGAGAAGGATTTCAATGTCTTTTAGCTGCCAAATTGCTTTTTGCCAACACATAACAAATGGCTGGTGCATGAATCACCTGAGGTTGGTTCACAGGTTTACACAGTGATTCAAAGGGCTGATATTCCAGAAGATGCATGCCCTTTTTTTATAATATCACAGTGCACCAGCAAAGCACCAGCAAAGCACCAGCAAAGCACCAGCAAAGCACCAGCAAAGCACCAGCAAAGCACCAGCAAAGCACCCCCCCCCAAACCACCCCCCCCCCCTGCTGTTTGTCACTGAGCAGCTCCACTGTGGCGACCGCTGACATTAACAGCTGAGGGCACTCATGTTTGAGATGAACAATTTGCAACTAATCGATAGCATTGATCAATTAGCAATAGCTGTTTCTAGCTTCACAAATGGGAGCATTTGCAGTATTTTCGTATGGTGCGTAAAACAAGAGATCTACACATCCCTTGGGCACTGGGAAACTGTTTTAATAATGTATTATTTATGCGATTGTTTTATCTATTAAGCATATTTGTGAAATATGTATTTTCTTTGCTATTGGTTAACATATTACAGTCAACTGACCTCACAGATCGAAAAGGTCAAATGCTTTCCTCAAAATAAATAAACGCTTTAACTTCCATTGCACACCTTCTGCAGAAATGTCAACACAATCAGCATAATAGAAACAACCAATAAATTAGATTATGCACAGTGGCCGTCTTTCTTATGAATGCTACCTTATTGGTCTTGCTGAACTCACAACAAAATGGAAGACAGCTTTTCTGTAGTACTCATGTATGTCAAACTTGATCCAAAACAAAAACTCGTGAGAATGCAAACTAGAGATGTGGAACAGCAGGTGGTATCATCCCGAATCTCAAACAGCCCAGAGCCACAGCGTCTGCTGCGCTGCACAGTTTATAACTCGCATACAGTATATTGTCAGGGTAGCGATGATCCTGATATGACTTTAAAAAAACACACTATCTCCAGGCTGGACTGAGAGTCTCAACCATCAACACAAACAGAGCCGCGCGCCAGCAGCTGTATGACGCACACCTGTAACAGCTCCTCTAATGATAAACATAAAGACTACTGCTAATTTACTATTAATAACGGAAGTGAAATCCAGCTAATAAAGCTGGTTTTGGCCCAAAAAAGAGTGGGCTCAAGTGTTAGCAGCGGACCGGTGGTGGGGTGCTGCTTACTGGGGCTACGGAGATGCCAAACACTATCAAAATGAGGGTAAAATATACGCCACAGATAAGACGCGCACAGATGGCGCGCAATTCTAAGGCAGAATAGAGGTGACTGTGTTTTATCTGGAGGAACTGACATGTCAGAGGCAACTTATCGGGGAAATAGTGGTCGCCCCTCCGACTATCCGCGGAGCAGAGTCCGCCACAGAGACACCTGAGTGCGGGTACGCAGTCGCAGTGTCATTGACGCAAGTGGCTACATTAAGAAGAAAAAAAAACAGCACTCACCTCTTTAGTGTTAACGATGCCTTTGACATATTTCCCGAGGACTGAATCCACGAAGAAGCCGCTGCACAGCAGAGCCATGCACAGGAGTCTCTCCCCGACCCTCACCTCCATCTTTCTCCCGGCTGCCGCTCCTCTGCTCTCTCCGGAGCCTGTCTCTGAGCGGGGGCGCGCAGCAGAACGGGATCGCGCACAGCAGAGAAACCGGGCGCGTCCACGTTGGTCCTTTCGATGCATGTGGTCCCCCTGGATGGGAGTGTGGGGGGGGGGTTCAGGATACGCGCTCCCGGTTCCGCTCGTGCTTTCCTGAATGCGACACGGCCACACATAAAAAATGCTTTGGCTGATTACGATCATGTTTTGATCAGAGGTCTCGCACCTCTAATGGAGAGGAGCTGTGACACATGATGCCTGCCCTCCGGGAGGAAATCACATCACACCAGCTGGATAAAGATCACCGGGTCTAATGGGCTGTATTGCTGCTGAATTTACATCAGAAATGTTCTTTTTTGATTGATTTGATGATCTGTAATGAAGTAGAGTCTTTAAGCACTATGTCCTATATATAACTCCTGCATTTAAACAGAAATATCAGCTAAATGTAGGCTTGATTGGGTTTCAAAAGTAATGCAAATTGTCCAACTGTTCACAAGTATGTTATAACATATTAGTTTATTTTTGTTTTTACTGATATTGAGTAATTGAATACATAGAAAAAGCATATTTTATAAACGTATTCTCAACGAAGAAATACAAATGATTATCATAGAAATCTTACAAGATGTATTTTTTGTTAAATTGGATCTGACACTTTATACAATTCACAAAGGTCAACCTTGTAAATGACCTTTCCAAAAGGCCTGACTTAATCAACATTTGGGTAAAAAAGCATTTGCTATTCACAAATTCATATATAAAATATGCTTTGGGATAAAAACTAAAAGAGGCCAGCTAGATTAGATTATAATTTCCATATCTTATTCTCAGCGACTTTAAGTTAACCTTTAGTTTGATCAATGCAAAGAGACATTTTGAATCACGAACACAACTGCAGGTTCATGGGAGAATATATTTATTTAGATAAAAATCAACAAAGGAAGAAACCAGCCGACTGGTGGCGTATCAGACACAACATTGAAGAATGCAACCTGCAAATCAAACATCAATCAACACATCTGAAAGTAGAGATAGCTACATGATTCATAGCGTTTGATACACATTCTTTTTTTTTTTTATTCACAGGTTTGCACTTGGTGTTTTGAATTAAATAAAAAAAAAAAATTATAAACCAAGTAAACTTAAAACTGCTTTGTTTCCAGTTTATGGCTTGTTTTCAGAAAAAAAAAAAAAAAATCATAATTTCCTACACCGGTATTACATTTTGCGGCGCAGTGTGCATAAGGAGCACCGACTGCATTTTCATCAACAGCAAACACTAAATGGCAAGCAGCACATCCGTTAGGAGACTCCGGCTGCAGTCTTTGGTTCCGTTTTGAAGCGCTAGAGATATATTTAAGATAAGTAACTTAGTGATCAAATTCATATTTGGAAACATTTCTGAGAACTGGTTGAGGTCAGTCGCATCAGAGCGTTGATGCATTTATGAAAGAATGAGGTTTCAAGGAAGTTTGGTATACATTTGGTATAAAGAGCTATAAAATCCAACCTTGAGATTCAATAGATTGCACAACAATAAATTGCATCACAGCCAGGGTGCGCCGCCAGGGATTATGGGCCCCATGAAAAGATATCATATTGCTTACTTTAACATTTCTTTCTTAAATGTTCTAAAATAGTTTGGGCCCCTGTCCGTCACGGGCCCCTCAGAGTCGTCCTAACTCTTCACCCCCTTACGGCGCCCCTGATCACAGCATTTCTGACGCAGTGTGTGAAAGATGATGAGATGCTGGTGTGTTAACTTGCATAGCTTGTTAAAGTTGTAAGCAGCGAGCTCACGTCTGTAGCAGCGTTGCACTTTTTCAAATAAATCAGCCAGGGGCAAGAAAATCTCACATAAGAGCTTCAAAAAACCAAAAAGAAGTAAAACTGGAGGTACGTTGTTCAACCTGATTATCAAACAAATAAAAGACAAAAAGCAACATTACTGTTTCTACAAGGACAATTTGTGATTACAAAGTATATGGACCATCAACAATTACACGCTATAAGGCGACAACACTCACTGAAAGAACGACTTCTGCTTGAAGCTAAATAAGCATCGGCAGAACCACAGAATGCCAGGAATGGGAAAACTTTTTCTTTTTTAAAAAAAGGTAACACTGCAAACGTTTTCATCCAAAACAGCATGGTTCACCTGCAGTCAGGGCAGCCGGATGCACGAGTGGTCATTAAGGGTAAGAGGCATAAGGAGGTCTACGAACAGCAAGTGGATTTGAAAAAAAGTGCTGTAGTCACCCACATACTTTATACAACAAAGTGCTAATGGCCGATCGACCCTGCTAGGCTTCATACGTTTTTTCAGGACTGGTGAAGAAGTCATGTTGATGTACAGAACACCACCGACACAACACATAGTCCAATAGTGTCTCACACACCAGAGACTAGTGTGATCATGTGTACATGTAGACTGAGCTACACATACAGGCACCAAGAGAGACATAAAACAAGACAGTGACATGTAACCTAACAACACACGTGCACAGAACTGCAAACTACTGTGAAATTACAGCAACCTCAGCCGGTGTCTCAGAGTGAACAAGTGCATTACTGTGTTCCCCTTCGCCACCCTGGTTCTTTCCATCAATCTGACTAAAAAGATTGCGGTAAGTACTGGGAGTTGACAGATCTAAGCATGGTCTAATCCTGTAGCATGACTTTTCTGCTAGAAATCCTGCTCTTCTTTTACAGGGGGGGGGGCACAGTCACACACGGGGGTTGAAGTCGGAGCTAAATCCTATTCATCACACAGCATCCTTCTACACAGACCTGGCCCTGATACGAGAGAAGGACGCAGCCAGCATTGTTGGCATCTATATTTAGTTGGACCTGATGGAGGGACTGACCCTCAGAAGGACATTTTCGTGTGCTTCAAAGTGCTTCGGTGGCAAAAAGCTCAGAGGAGTACCCTCAGCTTAATGAAATCAAAGTTAACCCCAAATGTAAAAGCACCCGGTCCACCAGCCGCTCCCAGTGGGCCAAATACAAGTTTAGTGGCTTTTACACAGCACTCCTGCAATCTGTTTTTCTTCTTCTTTAGTTTTTCCTGAGAGCCTCCGAATTATAGAAACCAATTTTCAGGCAGGAAATCCATCGATTCAAGAGAAGTGGTACTTTGACACACTCCATACTGTGCAGAGAAGTGGTGAGCGGAAAAACGCCTGGTGAGTAACGGGGACAATCTGAGAGGAAATCAGTGCAGTGGAGTTTAAAATGTGTGTTGATAGCTGAGGGCTTTGTGCTGCCCCTTCCTCTCCTACTCTACTTCTGAAGAACTCTTTCCAGTCTCAAAGGAAAACAACTTTTGGGTCTCTCAGACATATCAGAGCCATGATTGTTCTCAACAGACTTGGAATGGGAATATTTAAGCATTGACTTCAGGAAATAATCAGTGCATCTACACAAATGTGACTGCAGCAATGAATAGAGATGCAGCCCTATCAACACAAAGCACCAGGCAGCGTCGATAGCCCACTGTCCCACTGTCCACTATTCTATAATGACTATACCATTATCCTATTCATATGCATTAGAGGAGGATACACGTATAATTGGAAAGGCCAGGGACGTCTGAGCAGCTGTGCCGAAGGAGGAGGGGGTAAATATGGCGCACATTCAAACAGCATAAGTGTACATTCAAATAACAATATAGTAAACAAACCAACAAAAAAAACCTGTAATGATTCAAGGATTAAAATACAGCAATACAAAAATATAAATAACAAAAGTAACGCTACTGCATAGGGGTAGTAATATGATTACAAATTGCAACAGAATCTCAAGAAAGCAAGTTAATCAACGTATCCAGTTCAGCCTTTCAGTCTGTTGTTCAGCCTTTCAGCGTTGTGAGTGTGTTTGGTCGAGTCAACAGAGAAACTCTCCACGAAGGGAGCTGTGTTGACTGCCAAACAGGCGTAATGGAGAACACAATGTGGAGTTATTAAGTGTGATTTAGAGTGGCTCCCTAAAGGACAAGTGGCCATTTTGATTGGGACGACTCTACACAGAAGCATATAGTGTGCCTACCACTATTTGATTAGTGCCTTAAATGAGTGCCTTGTCTTGAATGAATCGCCCATTCAGCGCCCGTCTTTAGTATCAGCGCTGCTTTCTGTCCTGGCCGTGCTCTGCTAAGTGTGTGCGATGCATGTGTGGGTGCGTGCTGGTCTTTGATCTAAGTAGCTGGTGAATGACCATTTCATTTGAAAACATGACTGTCTTTGGTGAGTGTTTTCATTTTGTCTGCCAGCTTTGCTTTGTGCATAATGCGGCACAGACAAGTGGCAAGAATGGCAAAGCAGAGGAAGTCTTGTTTTGGCGCTACCCCTCTTTTTTTTGTCTTTAAGAAACTGGGTAATCACATAGATTTCCCTCCCCCCTCTCCCCCTATCTGCTTTTTAGGACACTCTCTTTGAGGCATCGCACTGCCTAAATGTGTCTGACTTTCATTTACTCTCCCCGTGTCTCCACTCCCCTGCAGTCCTTAATGTAACCTCACTTAAGGCTCGATAACAACAGCGTCAGTGTTGTTCTGGGCTGCCACAGCAACTAAGCCTTCCCCATTGGCCATTTTAGCCGCGACAGCAAGCTCCCCTTCCTCAATGGGGTCGGAAAAGATAGACCCGGCCTCCCCGGAAGAGGCGGACACGCCCCTATCGGTGCGCTCCAGCTTGCGGTGCTTGCGTGGCTCGGGAGGCGTGTCCTTCTGGGTCAAGACGTAGCGAATCCTCTCCGCGCAGATGTTAGCCGCCTCCTTGGTCTCCTTGCAGAGCTGGGACAGGCTGAGGAAGCCGTGGGGGAGGTCGTCCACCACGCACAGAGTGACGGGCTGATCTATGTTCCTCAAACGCTTGGCGAACATCACAGAGTCATCCAGCATGGGGTCTAACGCACAAGCCTGAGAGGAGAGGGGGGAGAGGGGAGAGAGGGGAGAGAGAGAGGAGAGAGAGGGGGGAGGGGAGAGGGGAGAGGGGAGAGAGAGCGGGGGTGAAAAGCAAGTTAGGATATGTCAGGAATCTTAATTAAGGGATGAAGAAAAGGAAGCCAAGAATCCCGGGTTTCCTTTGTGCATACTTTCTTTATATTCCCGCGGACTCACTCTAGCCACTTTCAAATCAGCACCAATTTCTTCATTTTGTATTAACATCCTTCAAATGTGAGCTCAGGCTTTAAACCTCCCATCTCTTTCTCACTGTGAGATAACGATGTAAGTGAAAGGTCCTCTCTGATCGCCATCTCTTCACTTTCTAAGGCTTTGGTGCTTTTACCTCTGCAACCTCCCATCTGCTTTTCTCTTGTCTTCACTATCATAAACCAACACTCATAATCCTGCATGGAACAATATCAAACCTACTTAGTTTAAAAGTGTTTGTAGAAAAACGTAAAACCAAATGTAGACCGTTGCAAAGACTCAAATGCTCTTCAAGGCAAGCTTACACTACGCTCAATTCGAGTAAGCCAACTTAGATGTTTGTGTACTTAACTGTATTAATGCTCTCCTGCCCAATTTCTTTGTATCAGAATTAAGTAGAGCTTCATTATCCAGTCAAAGACTTCCAGACTCACCACTATGTGCACAGGGGGCAGGCCTTTCAGCATGCTGTCAGGAGCCAGCAGAGGAGAGCAGAAGGGATCTTTAACCACAGGCGAAGTGTCCACCGTCATGGTGGCTAGCTGCTCTGAGCGCAGGGGCTCAAAGCCCAGGGGAAACTCCCTGCGGTGCTCCAGCTCTGACCCCTCCTTTCCAGCAGGGGGAGGTATGGCCACTGAAAACAGCTCCCTGGACATGGAGGGATCTGCCTCCTTGGATAAGAAGAAATGCACATCCTCTGGCTGCAGAAAAGGAGAGTAAAAAGTATTTAGTTGTGGAGAAACTGCACTGAAGGAGAAAGTAATGTCAAGGACAATAATAAGGAGTAAAATATTAAATAGGCAAACTTCATTGCATATACACACACAGAGGACTTTGTCCTTGTGGAAATCATCTGAAAACCTTGGCTCGGTGCCTGAGAGTCTTGGCTGAACAATCCCCATTTGAAGGAGGAAAAGCATATTAAAAATCGTGCGTCACCCCTGCAATACTATTCTTCACAAGCAAGGCACTAATCCAGCCTGCCTGTGTGAAAAAACATGCGAGGATAATCTGCAATACCTGGCTGGTACCCGCCGCACACCCAAGAAAAGCTTTGATACTCAGTCAGCTTTTCACAGCCAAATCTGTCAATGAGGCATGGGTGACTTCATCTAGGCTGAGATCATCAAGATGAAAAACAAACGTGGCTGCAGGGTATATAACGCAGTATGGTATCGGGGGTAAAGTATCTCCATGCTGATCACATGTTCAGTCTTAAATCCATCTAATGAGGGGAGAGATAGCCTGATCATAGGTGCTATAATTATCATCAAACAGTCCCCAGTAAGAGCCAAGTGTTCTTTAAAAGCCCTTAGACATTTAATGCTGTTAACTTCTTCAGGATAAGAGCATCCACTGAGAGCGAGCTAATCTCAATGTAAACATGTTGAAGCGTGACGTACAGTGCTCTCAGGGAGCAGCGCTGCACTGAGAGAAGTGGAGTCGTTGTGGGATCCCAACTCCTGGCAAGTCTGGCTCTTCACAGATAATTTCCTGGAGGGGAAGTCGGAGGTCTGTGAGGCGACAGGGGGGTCCGCGTGAGGAGAGGAGAAGGACGCCTCTGAAATACTCTTCCTCACTGTGTCTGAGAAACAAGACGGAGAGAGGGGAACATGGAGTTAGTCAAAATCGAAATGTTCCAGACAAACATAAAACTTCATTAAAAAGATCCATTAACACAGAAAGTAATTTTGACGATGTGTGTAAAGGACAGACGTGGGGTCAACTGCAGCTGGAGGACCGGAAAGAAATGACACAAAAAGAAACACACAATCACTTTGACTTATTCCGTCTCTACTTATCATATGTCCTCTGGTTGACAGCCAACCGTTAAAAGCCTCAAAATGCAAATTGAAGTGTATCAGGAAGGAGAGAGGCAAAGTGGGTGGAGGGAAATCAAGCAGTGCTGTCATGGCGATATCATCTGCCCGCCCCGAGCCGTCAAAACATAGCTGTAGTCATGGCGGCTATCTCCACAAAGCACTACCGATCTCCCATCTCTCCCATAATGAAGCATCTCAGCACCATGATGGCCTTTTAATAATGTACTCCCACCAATGACATTCTCATTAGTTTGGGCTTTCAGCTGGGGGGGAGGGGGCGGTGTCACCTGGCTAAGGGGACACCAGGGAAATTACGATTCGCCATCAGATTTACGGAGGCTACAATTAACAATTACTGTCAAAGCCCCGCTGCTCCGAAGACGTGAACTGATAGGAATGGGTTACAGTGTGGTTACGCAACAAGGTGGGACAAAGTGATAATTGGGCAGTTGAAAGCTGAATAAAGGGGATCCATGTCATTAACCCTCATCCATACGGACTGTAAATGAACTTGATATTGTTACACACATAATTGGCTTAAATGATGATGCTGAAAATATGACACACACACACAGTAATGAAAGACCCGGGCAGATTGCATCTATGGCAGAGCTTTGCAATGGGGCTCCAAACATTTTAGCGAAGGCATGGTATATGGAGGTACACAATATTACATCAGTTATCAAAACAAAATCACGTAGAATAACCTAAAGGTGTGCGATTTGGTTAAAGAAATACAGTAGATTTAGATACATTTGGGGTTTTCCCCTCTCCTGTATTGTTCTATAGGTTGTTGTGCATGTAAATGGTCTCCAAAGGCTTAAATCCTAAAGTTCCCTCCAGAGGGAGTTTCTCTCCCGCACTCCCTCCCTGAAAATGACCTTAATAGCGCCCCAGTTCTTTGGTGTTGTCTGATGTTATGTCAAATAACATTTGGCTCAAATGTGAGTCTCTATGGAATCAAATAATACAATAATGATCCCATTGGTATGAAAAAAAATGGCCAAACTAAGCCAGCCAACTAAAGGGGCATCAAGGGGGCGCCTTGAGGCTCAGAATCCTCCTTTTGTCCAACAGAATAAACGCAGTATCTGGCAAGTAAAAACTTATTTAAGCCACCCACATTTATTCTAATGTTCCCATGCCTGCAGACACACACAGTCACACACAGTCACACACAGTCACACACAGTCACACACAGTGAAACAAAGACACACACAAACACACACGGACACACAGTCACACAAAGTCCCACACAGTCACACACAGTGAAACACAGACACACACAGTCACACACGGACACACACAGACGCACACAGTGAAACACAGACACACACAGACACACACAGTGAAACACAGACACACACAGTCACACACGGACACACACAGACGCACACAGTGAAACACAGACACACACAGTGAAACACAGACACATACAGTCACACACAGACACACACAGTGAAACACAGACAAATACAGTCACACACAGACGCACACAGTGAAACACAGACACAAAGTCACACACAGTGAAACACAGACACAAAGTCACACACAGTGAAACACAGACACAAGTCACACACAGTCACACACAGTGAAACACAGACACACACAGTGAAACACAGACACAACAGTCACACACAGACACACACAGTGAAACACAGACACATACAGTCACACACAGACGCACACAGTGAAACACAGACACACGCAGTGAAACACAGACACACACAGTCACACACAGACACACACAGTGAAACGCAGACACACACAGTGAAACACAGACACACACAGTGAAACACAGACACAACAGTCACACACAGTGAAACACAGACACAAAGTCACACACAGTCACACACAGTGAAACACAGTCACACACAGTGAAACACAGACACACAGTCACACACAGTGAAACACAGACACACAGTGAAACACAGACACACAGTGAAACACAGACACACACAGTCACACACAGTCACACACAGTGAAACACAGACACAAAGTCACACACAGTGAAACACAGACACACACAGTGAAACACAGTCACACACAGTGAAACACAGACACATACAGTCACACACAGACACACACAGACGCACACAGTGAAACACAGACACACACAGTGAAACACAGACACATACAGTCACACACAGACACACACAGTGAAACACAGTCACACACAGTGAAACACAGACACACAGTCACACACAGTGAAACACAGACACACACAGTGAAACAGACACACACAGTGAAACACAGACACACACAGTGAACACACAGACACACACAGTGTCACACACAGACACACACAGTGAAACACAGACACACACAGTCACACACAGACACACACAGTGAAACACAGACACACAGTCACACACACAGTCACACACAGTGAAACACAGACACAAAGTCACACACAGTGAAACACAGACACACAGTGAAACACAGACACACAGTGAAACACAGACACACAGTCACACACAGTCACACACAGTGAAACACAGTCACACACAGTCACACACAGTGAAACACAGACACACACAGTGAAACACAGACACACACAGTGAAACACAGACACACACAGTGAAACACAGACACACAGTGAAACACAGACACAAAGTCACACACAGTCACACACAGTGAAACACAGACACACACAGTGAAACACAGACACACAGTCACACACAATCACACACAGTGAAACACAGTCACACACAGTGAAACACAGACACATACAGTCACACACAGACACACACAGTGAAACACAGACACACACAGTCACACACAGTCACACACAGACACAAAGTCACACACAGTCACACACAGTGAAACACAGACACACA